ACTGCTCCATAGTCTGATTTGTCCGCTCTGTTTGATAGTTGGTTTGCGGGTGGTATGACGACGAAAACTGCAGGCGGGTACCGTACTGTGCCCACGTCTCCTGCCAAAACTTAGACGTAAATTTCGGGTCTCGATCGCTGATGATCGCCGAAGGTAACCCGTGTAGGCGTACGACGGTTGAGATGAACAGTTTTGCAGTTTCTTCGGCTGTGATCGTCGTGCGGCATGGTGCGAAATGCGCCATTTTCGTCAGTTGGTCAACGAAGACCAGGACCGAGTCGTTGCCACTTGCGCCAGCTGGCAGTCCCGTGACGAAGTCCATCGTCACTTGTTGCCACGGTCGTTCGGGTGGCTCGAGGGGTTGCAGTAGTCCAGCTAGGCGTTGGCGTGATGATTTCATCGCTTGGCAGATCGGGCAGGCGGACACATAGCGCTGCACATCTGATGCCATGTCAGGCCAGTAATAATTCCGCTGCAGCAGCTTCAGTGTTTTGTCGATGCCGAAATGCCCGGAGAGGTTGGAGTCATGGACCTCCTGCGTCAGCAATCTACGTAAGGGTAGGTAGGAAGGTACCCAAACTCGGTTGGTGCCGACTTTTAGGTAATAGCTCCCATGTGCCATGGTTACCCGTTGGTGTTGATTCGCTCTGAAGAAGCGGTCGGTTCTGTAGCCGTGGGTATTCAGTCATCGAAGGAGTGGGTTGGAATGGGCAATCAACACGGCTGCAGTCTGCATTGATGGGCGGGTCAGGGCGTCGGCAATGTTGTTGGCGCCCTTCTTGTAGGTGATGGTGTAGCAGAAATTTGACTCGAGGTATTCGAGCCACCGGATTTGTCGTGGATTGAGCTGTGGTTGGTTGCGCATGTACTGTAGTGACTTGTGGTCTGTCCTGATTGTGACGTCGGCTCTCGTGAGATAACAGCGCCAGGTACGAAACAGATGCACGATGGCGAGCATTTCTTTGTCGTGTACAGGGTAGTTGCGCTCGGGCGGTTGCATTTTCCGTGACTCGTATGCAATTGGTTGCAGGTCTTTGCCGAAGTCCTGTAGAAGGACGGTGCCGACGGCGAAATCGCTGGTGTTCGTCACGACTTCGAACGGTCGAGATGAATCAGCCAGCCGAAGCACTAGGGGTGAACTAAAAAATTTCTTGAGTTCGTCGAACGCCAACTTCTCTCTCTCCCCCCAAATGAATTGCGCGCCTTTGTGCAAGAGATCGGTTAACGGCCTGGTCACCCCCACCATATTCGGTACAAAGCGGCGGACGTAGTTGACGAAGCCGAGGAAACTCTGCAACTCCGTGATGTGCGTAAGCGACTTCCACTCCGAAATTGCGAGCACTTTGCGAGGGTCAAAACCTGCCCGAAACTACGTGCCCTATGAACTTCAGCTCCGGCCGTAGGAACTCGCACTTAGAGCCCTTAGTAATCAGTCGGTTCTGTTGCAAGCGCATGAACACCTTGTCTAAATCATTTAAATGGTGCTCCCGAGTCTTGTTGTACACCAGGATGTCGTCCAAGTAAACAATATTTTTTTTTGTCCAGCATGTCCTGAAACACCCCGTTCATGGTGAGCTGGAAGGTTGATGGTGCATTCGTCAACCCGAACGGCATCACTGTATACTCGAGCAGCCGTCGGCGAACACGCGAATTTGATGGTAGCCACCTCGCAGATCGATTTGCGAGAAGAAGCGAGCTCCGCGAAGCTGGTCCAAGAGGTCGTCCTCTCGCGAAATCGGGTAACATGACTTGATAGTGATCCGATTCGATGCTCGATAGTCGATGCACATGCGCAGGCCTCCGTCTTTCTTCGGCGTGAACAGTATCGGGGCGGCGAATGGGGATGTGCTTGGCCGAATAAATCCCTTCGAGAGCAGATAATCCGGCTGTTTCCGCAACTCGTCAAGCTCCGGTTGCTGAGCCGCCACTGGGATTGAACCGTCGGTTTCGCACCAGGTTCCAGCTCGATCATGTGGTCTTCCGGACGTTGAGGTGGCAGCCCATCAGGCAAGTCATTCGCGAAAATTTCGGGATACCTCCGAATTATACTCGCCACGTCGTCAGATACAGCAGCGCAGAGCGTGTCAATGTCGGCGATTTTCTCAAGCGCAGCCACCTCGTACAGTTGTACAGCGTAGCCTTGCGCTCCCCTTTTGAGCACCCTTGTCAGCGTTATCGCGTTGACACGTGTCGTCGTCGGCTCTGACTCCGACCATTTCAGAAGCGTCACATGTCTCTTGTTGCTCAGCACCGTGCACGCTCACGTCGTCCAGTCGATCGTCGGATTATATCGCCGCAGCCAATCTCGTCCCAGCAGCACATCGCAACCGTCCAGTGATGTCTCCAGAATCTTCATTGAAAACCCAAAATTGTCGCCACACTTCATTCGAATTTGTCGCATCTCGTCCTTGATCGCCAGCGGTGTTCCGTCGCCCAATCGCGCGTCAATCTCGGGCAGACACCTGTCCAGCTTAACTCTGTCTTTTTTTGCCGTTGCCAGGTTGACGAGACTGTGGCTCGCCCCACCGTCAACGAATAATTTTATTTTATAGTCGTTAACCCTCCCCACGACCAGCACAGGGTGATCCACGTGTTCATCCACTTTATTCGTCCGGTTGCGGTCGATAGCCCGCATCGGTACCACTACTCGTTGTGGATGGTGATTGTTGGGCGACGGGGTCTCGTCAGTAGGTGGCCCGACCGCCACTGACTCGTCTCTTTTCCCGACCCCTCTCCGTCGTTCCTGTTTTCCTTTTTAAGCTTCGGGCAGTCTTTCCTCCAGTGGCCCGGCTGGTTGCAGTTGAAGCACGTGTTTGGGGCACGTCTCGGCGCATCCATTCCGTTGATTGTGGGTTGGCGAGGCGGTCCACGACACTGATTTTCCCTCCTGGGAACTCATTCTCGCCCACTGCATCAGCTCGTCCATTGATTCGGCCAGTTGGACGGCATCGTTGAATTCGCACGGCCGTGTTCGTCGCACCTCGTACTGCACTTCGTATTTGAGGCCTGCAACGTAGCGATCGAGCCGCTCCGCGTCACTTGTTCGGCCAAGGCGCAGAACATCGCCGTGTAGTCTTGGACCGATGTCACCTGCTTCCAGGCACGCAGCTTCATGCGAGCAGAATCCGAGGTGGATACGTGCTCGAATCTGGTTCGCAAGGCGGCGCCCCACTCCGTCCATGTGCGTACCGTGGCCACTCCGAAGATCGAGGTTGCTCGTTGCATGACAGGTGTCGAGGTCCCGTCGTTCGCACATGATATCCCTGCCAAAGTCCCCTCTGTTAGAAGCGTGCGGCGCCACCACTCCAACGCTTCTCCTCGTAACAGTGAAACTGCAAAATTAATGCGGGTGGCGTCATCAGCAATTTGCACAGCATTAAAGAAAACCTCCACGCCAAACAGCCACGCAGACACAATAACGCCTTTGTCGCTGGGGTTGAACGGGGGCAGGTTAGTTGGTTTTATCTTAACAGTTGTCGAGACTGCTGCTGCTGCTGCTGCATGCACCGTGGGCGCCGTTGAAGCCCTCGTCGGAATTGTCGCTGGTGCCTGTCGTGACGTTGCTTGTGACTGCTGCCTGGCGTTGCTCGTTCTTGTTGTCGTTGCTCGCCCGCTTCCTATGCCTGTTGCTATCGTGCCGCCCACTCATCTTTAGCGTCCAGCGAGCCGTGTAGCTCGTTGAGCACGTTATCGTTGAGTGATGAACTGCTACTTGCTTCGTCCACGACGGGCGACTCCTGGCGCGCTTCACCTCGCGCCTGGCGTAGTTCGGCATTTTCCACCCTCAGGCGCTCCAGCTCGCCAGACATAATCAGCAAGTTGGTTTGCATCGCCCGAAAGTCCTCTATGAAGCGGTCAAACTCGGCCTGATTCATGTTTCCCAGGCTCCTCCTGACGGGCGGGGGGTTAACATCGATTTTTATGACTTTGATGAAGGCGCAAACGGTGGCGTAGACAGAGCGAAATAATCTTATGTATTTCTCAAACGACCGCTTTGTAGTCCACCAAATCTATCACACCCCTCCACTAAACTACCCCGGAAACGCGAGGGTAACCTAGGAAAGTAGCTGTAATACCAAGTGTTATGAGTTGTAAGAAGAAGTGCGCAGAATGCAATATCGCGGAAGTGATTACAACTACTGTACTTCTCGAATAATGAGACCTAGAACAGATATAGCAAAGGCTAGCTAGGTCGAGGTCGCAGGACCGCGCAAGGTTGGCCGCAGGTTTGGGGTTGGAAACCCCGAGGGCGACGCGGTGGACTTTTGCAAAATTTTTTATACCTTGTATGGCCTTTGTAGGCACATGCGCTGAGATAGTGTATGTTAGAAGTACACCCTCTGTTTGCACTATACACTTGGAGCTTAAAACCCGCGGGCCAAGAACTTCAACCTTAGGAAGGTTGGTTGAGACTGAAAACGTGATTGGCCCGCGAAATTTGGTAGTGTCGAGATTGTTGGAGGATGTTCGTGTACTTGACCAGGTTCGCCAATGTTACCAGGATTGACCTGCGACATGTACTTCACACACACATCAGTCGCAGAGAGCCTAAGCGACACCCAACAACAACCTGTCTCACACACAACCCCACTTTCCAACACCACGTCACTGCATTGTAGTATAGGAAACTGCTCCGACTACAAGTAGCTAGGAAATTGAGCTTAGCGCATACGCAAAGCCACCTCGTCAAAGCAGACGGCGGGCGATAGTGATAGCGTACACAAAGCGGCGCTACGGCATCATTAGCTATCGCTGGGAATTAGAAGTGACACACAGCACGCTTCGAAAACGCCAGTAAGTGCGATTCTTTCCTTTGATCCCGCGTGTTGCGTTTGCTCGAGCCACGAGGACGTTACGCCACAAATTAACATTTCCCGTTATGCAGTAAAAAGGTGGAGTCCAAGCGCCAGTGCGGCCCTACCCTCTCGCCGCGATTCACAAGAATCGCCAGCAGCATGTACTTTAGGCTCACGCTGATTCTCAGAGCTTTCCTCACGCCAATGTACCATGATCCCATCACACCACCGGTGTCAGCTGTCCGTCGTACACCTCCTCTTCCCTTCCCTTCCCGTCACTCAGCCTTGATTCATCGCCCTTCCCTTCCCTTCCCAATCCGATCCCTTCCCTCCCCTTACTAAAACTTCCCTTAGGGTACTTCCCTAGCCGCGCCAGTCCCTCCCCTGCAAGTACCGTCACTTCCCCCTCCCGTCGCCTCCATTTCCCCCTCCCGTCGCCTTCACTCCCCCCTCCCGTCGCCTTCACTCCCCCCTCCCGTCGCCTTCACTCCCCCTCCCGTCGCCTTCACTTTCCCCTCCCGTCGCCTTCACTCTCCCCTCCCGTCGCCTTCACTCTCCCCTCCCGTCGCCTTCACTCTCCCCTCCCGTCGCCTTCACTCTCCCCTCCCGTCGCCTTCACTCTCCCCTCCCGTCGCCTTCACTCTCCCCTCCCGTCGCCTTCACTCTCCCCTCCCGTCGCCTTCACTCTCCCCTCCCGTCGCCTTCACTCTCCCCTCCCGTCGCCTTCACTCTCCCCTCCCGTCGCCTTCACTCTCCCCTCCCGTCGCCTTCACTCTCCCCTCCCGTCGCCTTCACTCTCCCCTCCCGTCGCCTTCACTCTCCCCTCCCGTCGCCTTCACTCTCCCCTCCCGTCGCCTTCACTCTCCCCTCCCGTCGCCTTCACTCTCCCCTCCCGTCGCCTTCACTCTCCCCTCCCGTCGCCTTCACTCTCCCCTCCCGTCGCCTTCACTCTCCCCTCCCGTCGCCTTCACTCTCCCCTCCCGTCGCCTTCACTCTCCCCTCCCGTCGCCTTCACTCTCCCCTCCCGTCGCCTTCACTCTCCCCTCCCGTCGCCTTCACTCTCCCCTCCCGTCGCCTTCACTCTCCCCTCCCGTCGCCTTCACTCTCCCCTCCCGTCGCCTTCACTCTCCCCTCCCGTCGCCTTCACTCTCCCCTCCCGTCGCCTTCACTCTCCCCTCCCGTCGCCTTCACTCTCCCCTCCCGTCGCCTTCACTCTCCCCTCCCGTCGCCTTCACTCTCCCCTCCCGTCGCCTTCACTCTCCCCTCCCGTCGCCTTCACTCTCCCCTCCCGTCGCCTTCACTCTCCCCTCCCGTCGCCTTCACTCTCCCCTCCCGTCGCCTTCACTCTCCCCTCCCGTCGCCTTCACTCTCCCCTCCCGTCGCCTTCACTCTCCCCTCCCGTCGCCTTCACTCTCCCCTCCCGTCGCCTTCACTCTCCCCTCCCGTCGCCTTCACTCTCCCCTCCCGTCGCCTTCACTCTCCCCTCCCGTCGCCTTCACTCTCCCCTCCCGTCGCCTTCACTCTCCCCTCCCGTCGCCTTCACTCTCCCTCCCGTCGCCTTCACTCTCCCCTCCCGTCGCCTTCACTCTCCCCTCCCGTCGCCTTCACTCTCCCCTCCCGTCGCCTTCACTCTCCCCTCCCGTCGCCTTCACTCTCCCCTCCCGTCGCCTTCACTCTCCCCTCCCGTCGCCTTCACTCTCCCCTCCCGTCGCCTTCACTCTCCCCTCCCGTCGCCTTCACTCTCCCCTCCCGTCGCCTTCACTCTCCCCTCCCGTCGCCTTCACTCTCCCCTCCCGTCGCCTTCACTCTCCCCTCCCGTCGCCTTCACTCTCCCCTCCCGTCGCCTTCACTCTCCCCTCCCGTCGCCTTCACTCTCCCCTCCCGTCGCCTTCACTCTCCCCTCCCGTCGCCTTCACTCTCCCCTCCCGTCGCCTTCACTCTCCCCTCCCGTCGCCTTCACTCTCCCCTCCCGTCGCCTTCACTCTCCCCTCCCGTCGCCTTCACTCTCCCCTCCCGTCGCCTTCACTCTCCCCTCCCGTCGCCTTCACTCTCCCCTCCCGTCGCCTTCACTCTCCCCTCCCGTCGCCTTCACTCTCCCCTCCCGTCGCCTTCACTCTCCCCTCCCGTCGCCTTCACTCTCCCCTCCCGTCGCCTTCACCTGTGCTGCATCGCGCATGTGCGCGAGGATCAAGTGATCCTCGCGCCCGTCCGGGTTGTTGGTGATGCCGCATGTCTAGAACGAGCGGACTATGAGGTCCTCAGGGACGGCAGCCCAGGCCGTGGCGATCCACAGCAGCACCAGCTCTGCGGGCGGCTTCCTGAGGTTGCCTGCAGTGGTGGAAAGAGTGGCGGGCGTCAGAATTTTGTAGGGGTGGAAATGGGAAACGGGAAAGGCACAATAAATAAGTTTCTTACCAGCAGGGGTCAGGGTGTTGATGCCGAACTCGGCAAACCAGTCGTTGTACATCTGCCGGACGCCAGCCTTGAACGAGCGATTGATGCTCACGTCCAACGGCTGCAGGAGAGGCGTGCAGCCACCAGGAATGATGGCTGGCGTGATGCGATGCCAGAGAAGCGCGCCCCATACCGTGTCCGTGAGATGCCCACGGTACGAGTCCAAAACGAACAGCGTCCTATTGCGGTTGATGCCTGGGCGGGGGCGCGTGTGAGGCAGCAGCACGTTCTGCACCCAATCCATGACGAGGCTGGAATCCATCCAGCCTCGTTCTTGTGCCCGAATGAGCATGCATGCACAGAGAAACCAGTGAATGTGAGTGGAGGTTTTAACAATCACAACACTACCAGTAGGAAATGGGAAGACACTCACCCGGCGGGAAGGGGATGTTGGGGATGGTTTTCCGCTTGAGGATCACCATCGGCGGGAGCTTCACCCCCGTGCCCGTGACCGCCAGCATTACGGTCATCCGCGCCTTTTCATAGCCGGCGCTGCGAACTTGAACTGCGCGCTCGCCACAGTGCGCCAACGTCCTCTCATGCCGCATCTCAAGGAACACCGACGTCTGGTCGGCGTTCACAATGTTCCAGTCGTCGATGCCGTGGCGGACGATTTACCTCCTGCAGAACTTCCAGAAGCTCTCACACTTCGACTTGCAATCTGCACGAAAAAAACAAGGAGGTGTTAAAACCGGTACTAACAAATCACGGCACACAAAGACATTACACAACAAACACACCTTTCGTCAGCCGCTGACCGATCTTGGTCTTCACCCTCACGGTCAGTCCCCACCGCTTGCGAAACCTGAAGGTCCATCGCGGAGAGGCGCGCCAGTCGACCTCAGGGTGCCGGTTCTTCATCGTAATCCGGCTCCACGTCTGCAGCAGCTTAATCGGGACTGCCAGTCCCCGCGACCTGTGGGAGAGGAATTGCCTATAAACAGAGAGCTCCATGTCGGGGTAGCGAGCACGCCGTCCGCCACCTGAAAGCCGCAGACGGCTGCCAGCCGCTGATGCCATCGCGTCAGCCACCTTCTTCCAGCGCCGGATGCTGATAGGTTGCACGCCGGCCATCCGTGCAATTTCGCGCACCGTGAGGTGCTCATCGCGCATCCGCCTGAGCCAGGAGGTCTTCTCCGCCATTGAGCGAGCGTGGCGCTTGTGCTTGTTAACCCTGTTGCGGGAATCGGGGGTTAGAGCATCACGGGTGACCGCGGCAGGGTCGACATCGCGCAGCACATCAGTGGGGAAGCGAGGGAGAGGATAGGGAACACTTTCATCGGCTGATGCGGCACCACCACTCTCTGGATCATCGGACGAAGTCGCGTCATGCACTGACTGCCCAAGGAACTCCTCTTCGCCTAAGCCCGGTTCGAAGGGGTGTGGGAACGGGGGCCAAGGACATGGAGGAGCGCGAGGTGCGGGAGGCGCGGGAGGAGGAGGAGCTGGAGGAGCCGGCGGGGCCGGCGGTGCCGGCGGGGTTGGTGGAGCTGGGGGTGAGTTCGCCATGGCTGCAAGGCCGCGGGCTGCACTGACAGCCTGCATCTTCATCAGCATGTCCAGCGCCGACATGACGGTGCCTGTAGGGGAGAGGTTGCTAAACTAGCGGGTGATAACATGGTGGCCAAGAGAATCGAGGGGAGGCTTTCAACTCAGGAAAAAAAATGAAAATGAGCTTCATCGACTCAGACTACCCCCCTCCAAAGCCGGGGAGGACAGGGACGTGCGCTGGGGTGAGTTCACGTTCCCCGTGGCGCATGCAACCCAGCTGTGCACGGTGTAACGTTCACGAACCCAACACCCCATCAGATGCAATGTATCTGATGGAGTGATGGTGGTGTGGTCAACACACCAATCAAGAGCAGGGGCGCTGCGCCAGCAGCGTCAGGTGTTGCCGCCGTCATGCTTCAATGTGTGACGTGTGGCCTGGGGCGAGGTGCGCGAAAGTGGCGATATGGTTCCTCGCTTACAGGCAAACTCGAATTTGCTGGGAACAAAAATTGAATTCAATCAACACTTTTCCTTACATTTCTAATTTCTGTAATTATTAGATGTCCAGGGGTCTTATAAACTATATGCCATTAAATAAGACCCCACAACCCATTTCAAGCACATTTAGGATAAGACCCCCGGGTCTTCTAACCGGGAGATCACGGTAGTTTGGGGTCATTGACTTTTTTGACCCAAAAGTTCTTCTCACCCGTACCTGACCCGAACGTGTCCCAAACGCGAAAGGGCCATGGGGTTTTGGGGATGCGGGTTCGATACCTATTGCTGACAATTCTCGACTCCAAATATCTTTTGACTTGTGACGTGCGGAAAACAACAAGCAACATGCACTTCGAGGTAACATAATCTGAAGCTAGAAGCGAACTCCTTACCTTCAGATCGCATGCGAGCAGCTATCCACTCGGCTAAGAGAACTACACAACATCAGAATAAAAATATTATTTATGGGTTCCAGACTGCAACGAACGAAACAACGAAAACAAATGAACAGCTTATCCATGCGAGGGATTGACCCCTTTACCTCCAACACGACTTCTCGATCACTAACCACTACGCTAAACACAGCACGTGTTCGTCTTTTCTAGCAATTCTATAAAATTGTCTTCGGCGAAAGCAAAAGTGATGTTCGGGTTTCGTTTTCCAATTCTGACGGGTGGTGTCCACCACCCTCACCCCCTGAGCATATTTACTATCACTTTCGACATTTGGGTCCCATTTCTACCTGCTCTAATCTTGAATCTTAGAAATTTCTCTAGTTCTTCCCTCTACCATAGCTAAGCCTAATGTGCTCCGATCCCGCCGTCCCCTTGTCGTTATCTTGTCGTCCCTATCTCTTATACTCATCCAACAACGTAGCTGTTGCTAATAGCATGTCTGTCTTCGCGCCAATCCAAACGAGCTAAGTCTTAACGATTCTAATTCTTACTTATTTTTTCTTCCCGTTATGAACCTCACTGTGGCAGAAAACGAGTGTCAACACAACCTGCGATTTTTCAGCGACAACACAATAGTGAATTATGGTGATTCGCTTGATTTTACAGCGGTGATGTTATTTCCTAGAAATATATCCATCTGTCTTTCCGCCATTGCAATCTCTTTAAGTGGGCTGTCCTTGTAGATTATTGTTTCATTTTCCTGACTTTGCAATATATCCTATCTTTCCGCCATTGCGATCTATGACTTCACCTTCCCTTGCAGATTGTTGGTTCATTTTCTTTACTTCGCAAAATCTTCTATCTTTCCGCCATTACGATCTATAAAGTCACCCTCCCTTGCAGATTGTTGGTTCATTTCCTTTACTTCGTAATCTATATTTCACGCATCGCGTTGTCAAACATATACATATGTTGTAGTTATTGGTAGGCTGTAGTGGGGTAGATAATGTGGGGTACAACCCCTTAGGGTTTTCTTCTTGTACCAATTCTCTCGATAGTCAACATTCATGCCTAGTTCTTAGATGGCATCTAGAGCAGTAGGTCCTTAGGACCTAAGATTCGGGCCCATCGGTTACCGTGTTACCTCACCTACAGCCTTGCCTGCCTGCCTTGCCTGCCTGCCTGCCTTACCTACTGCTCGCGCGCGCCTTGGCTGCACGCGCGCGTCATTTTTTTTAGTGCGCCCTACTGCTGCAGCCCGCGCGCAGCCAGCTGCAGCCTCGCGCACCACGCTCAGCCGCCCGCACGCCCGCTGCTGCCTCGCGCGACGCCCGCAGCCACGCGCAGCCCGCCGCCGCACGCGGCCTGCAACCACGCACAGCCCGCAGCCGCGCGCAGCCATTCGCCGCGCGTGCCTTGCCTGTGCGCCGCCCGTCGCCGCTGCGCCCTGCCCTGCCTGTGCGCCGCCGCCTCGCCCTGCGCACTTCGCCGCCCGCCCTGCCCTGCCTGTGAGCCGTGCGTCTGCTCTAACTGCGCCACCTGCCTTGCGCCTGTCTGCCTTACGCCTGCCTGCCTTGCGCCTTGCCTGAAGTGCGCCTGCCTGCCTTGCGCCTGCCTGCCTGAAGTGCGCCTGCCTGCCTTGCGCGCCTGTGCCTGCTGCCTGAGTCTACTGCCTTTGCCTACTGCCTGTTCCTGCTGCCTTGGCCTGATGCCTTTGCCTGCGCTGCTATAATGGCGACTCTTTTTCTCGCGTTTGAGCCTGACGGTCGCCCGATAGAGTTTGCCACTTGGCTTGACGATTTGCAGCTGTTTCTTATGACGGATGCCAAAGACGGCGTTTCACTGTTCGATCACGCTTCTGGCACTGCCGCTGCTCCTGCTGACGCTGCTCCTGCTCTTGACCGCTCACAGTGGCAGACTCGCGATGCTTCTGCGTGCCTCGCTATCCGCAACCACCTGCCGATCACTGAGCGCGCGCATTTTAGTCAGCACAAGACTGCTAAGGCGCTGTATGACGCTGTAGTTGCGCGCTATTCCTCCCCAGCCACTGCAGCCGTAGGACGTCTCATCCTGCCCTACCTGTTCCCCGACCTGTCCTCGTTTACCACCGCTGAGGACCTCATCTCTCACCTCCGCGCTAGTGACGCCCGCTTTTGTGCCGCTCTTACCGACGATTTCCTCGCCACGAACACCCCCTCCGTTGTACTTTACCCTCTACATCCTCGTCACCCGCCTCCCTGACACTCTTAGCTCGGTCAGGGACCATTTCCTCGCCAAGGACCCTACCACTATCACTCTAGCCGACTTCGAGCAGCAGCTCCTAGCAGCAGAGAAGAACATCCTCGCTGTAGGTGCTG